ATAAGTAGATACATAAGTCATTTAAACAATGATTCTTGACTCAATCGTAAAACTAAGAACATGTTCACTGTGTCAGATGTAAATTTTCAACATGAATATCGATGCTGAAAAATGAACGACAAATGTGATTTCATCGATGATGATACGCTTTATCCCTAGTCTTATTTTATTTTTATCGTTTTATTGATCCTCAATATATGGAATAATAATGTATTATCAGTAGCATAGACAGGAGAACGCCGACTGGATGAACAAAGAAATCTTGAAAGAGTGTACTGAGCTTGATAAATGGAAAGTTAGACAAACTCATTCTGCTTTATTTTTCTTTCTGTGATTTCATGATCTCTTTCAAAGATCGTTAACCTTTCTTCATTGGGATTAATCGAAATATTTTCAAAGCGAATGTTATAAATTCTAATAAATTTCATTTTATGACAATAGTAAATATAGGTAAGATGATCCCGACGGGCTCGGGATCAGGACTAGTACTCTTACACTGAAAGCAGTACCTTTCATGGTCGTTAAAACTTATTCTATAGTTATTATCGACATATGAATTGCTTGACAGCACAAGCCATAAATTTTTTACATTTAAGAATATTTAATCAAAATGAACTTCGAACCACTCAATCAACATTGAGCAAAAAAATTGCTACTCACATAGACTAAATTTGAAAGAATCTTCTTTTCAGGTTAATAAAAGAAAAAAAGAATAAGAAAGTGTTTAAGAACAACATCGGCAATTAGAAGAGCACTGAATGGTATTTATCAATATTTTCCTCTTCTAGATAAAAAAATTCACACTCAAGTAAACAAAGAAAACATTTAACATTTTATTTAAATAAAAGTTCAGATTTAAAATCAATTGCTTCTTATTTCATTTCACGCATTTATCTTAAAGCATTTATGCGAGAAATATTTCAAGTGATCAATCTTCTTTGTATTCGGATTCTATGCATATGGTAAACCTCAGAGAATTATGAAAAATTTCGCAAGACCAATTTCTCATAGATCTTCTTCCAAGATTCATAGTTTTTGTACACGAATTTTAGTCTTAGGCTATGTTTGTCCTAAAAAAAATCGAGTGACATTATTTTGAAATGAAGAGAAGTTAAACTTATGGAATTTTTCATATTTTACTAGGTTCTACCTTATGTGTAGAGTTTCAACTCGAGAACAATTGATTACCTATTATTGTTCTATTTTCAGATGGGTATTGTTTCTTGTCATAGCAACCAACAGTATCACTTGATAAAACCGTTATCAAACATTGATTCGTATTATATTCATAATATTCTATTTGCTTCATTTCTTTTTTCCAATACTGTATGATAATTTTCGTCGACTTTACTTTCAATTCTTTTCTCTAATTCATGATTTCATCATAATCATGACTGACATTGCTTCTATTTTCAGGTGAAGCAAACATTTTATGCAATAACTGTAAATATTTGTATGTGTTTACTTAGATCTATTAATTCAGATGATAGTTCATCTGGAAATTCTCATATAAATGATTTATTATTAGTAGTATCACCATCACGTTCTTTATCACCTAACAAGAGAAGAACTATTAATGATGCATCAACGTTAAGCAGTTATGATAAACGCTTTCTTTTATTGTTGTGCGACAATAGCGAAGTGCGCCTTCTTTTTGATGAATGCTTGTTATTGTCTATTTAATTAATTGAGAAATGTTTAACTGATCATGGCACAATTGACTTTGTAGTAGTCATTGACATTGAGCAATTTGCTCAATTTTCGAAAATGAAATGCAATTATTTAAGTCTTTCTACAAATATTTCAAAATACGTCAACTATAAGCATTTGAAAAGATGATAGATGAACCATTTCGTACTTGATTATCTCGAAAAGGCTTCTAATCGATTTATACAACTATTGTAAACTCCCCCCCAGAATAAAAGGCCATGGCCTTCTATTATGGAAATTCACATCGGACTTTTCAGGGTGGCCTTCTATTAAGGGTGGCCTTCTAATAGGACTTTTATGGCAAAAACTTACAAGTTTTTTTTGTTAGTTACTGATTTTGTTTTTCGNATGAATCAAATGACACGAAACTTTAGGTAATTCGAATCTTCCTTTAAGCCTTTAGATGATTATGGACGTTGTTTATGAATAGTCTCATATCGCTGTATCAGATATAGAGAAATATACGAGGATATTAATCAGAAACGCAGGTACATCAAGTTGTTATCAATAAATAGATAGCAATTCACTCGCAGAGAACTTTGAATTCTTTTTTTTTGAAATTATTCAATTTTTTTTATTTTTTTTTACAGTTAACAACAATGTAGTTTCGACATACCAACTAATCTCAAGAAGCAACATCTTAATGTTCGAACACTTTTTTCCTATGATTAGGTTTTCTCAGGAGCATTGACCTGCCTTTTATTATATTTCAATACTAACATATATCCTGTATCATCTTGGTTTTTATATTCAACTTCGAATAAATATTTCATGACTTGCCTAATTCGAGTTCGAATATCATTGAATCTTCCACTGCATAAGACGAATTGGAAAAGAAATCGAAAAAATATCGAGTCAGCACTTGGCTAGAGCAAAAATGAAAAAAAATTATTCGATTTATAAATTATGATTCGGATGGAACCGTTCTATAACTACGGCAGAAAGGTAGAAAAAAATTTCATTTGGACTTGTCCGGCAATACTCGGGATCGTACAGACTCAATAAAAATTACATCATTCGAAAGAGCATAAAACGTTGAGCAAAACGTACTCATTTTCTCGGAGGCGTATTACTAAGTCTCCAGCAAAACATTTTAAAATATATTTCCTAGTGGAAATAGCAACGACCTTTCGCTCTCTCTCTGTATCTCTCTCCGAATGATCTACTTTATTTCTTTATTTCCTTTTCATTGTTCTGCTTGACATGTATAGACATGTATAAGCTTGTACATACAGGGTGCGTAGGAAGAAAGGAAATGCGGACTTCTTTTCAACTTTTTTTCTTTATAGATCCATAGTTCGATGTTATATTTGCACCACATATACTAGATGACAATACTCAGAGAAAGACCATATTATCAGCATTTGGCTGAAAGGATTTGTCGAAAAACATACGACTGTCTCGCATGCACTTTTATATGACTGTCACATCAGTTTGTAGTGTTATGTTTCTATATTTTGTTCTACTTGCATGAAAACGAACAGAATGATTTAAATTCTATTGATCTTTATCTTGTTTCAGACTGGTCATGTAATAAGCTACTCAAAAATGAGATAAAATTGAAAAAGACTTTGATAAGATAATAGCGAATCCATGTGAAAGTCATATAACAGTATATGAAAGATATTCGCATGTTTTCCGATAAATTCTTAAAACCAAAGGCTGGTAATAGATTCGTCCTTCGAGTATTGTAATCTAATATATGTAGTTCAAATATAAAACCGAACTATCGATCTATAAAGAAGAAAGAAGTTGAAAAGAAGCCCGAGTTTCTTTACTTATTGTCCACCCTGTAGCAGTAAGTTGTTAATTAATGAGCGGTAAACTAGCTAGATGAGATAATACACCCCTCAACAAGATGTTCTTGGTGAAAAGAAAACAGAGACAGACACTCATGAATATTCATATCAAGTGTGCATAGTACCTACTTGATGTTGGTAGCAAATTCTGAGCAGTGTTGACCTACACGTGCATTATAGTGAAGCCAAACCATTCTCGGCACACAACACCACAGCGGCAGCCATTACTCCTTTGAATGCAGAAAAAGCAAGCTGCAGTATTTCTAATGTATACAGTTCCTTGTTCGTCTTTACATCCCTCCATTCACCGGTTGCATCTACTACACATTCTCCTCGATGATAAACACATACACTCGTACCAATGTCAAGTCCACCAGTCAAATTTTGTTTGAAAATTGAACGCACGCTCATCCAGTTAGGTGCTACATAGCCTTGCATGTAGTTTCTATTCGACATTGAAGGCATTTATCAATTGACATTAATTCCGACACATTCCATCTCTGTTCTTCACAAACATGTCTCTTGTTCGTTATGTTCTCTTTATGCTTTCGAGGCAATATTGACAAAGGATGAATAATTGAGATAATTTTTTAGTACTAAATATCAAGATATTTTTTTACACATCAAGCATTGGTTACACATGGTACACATTTTGGATCCGATAACTATTATGGTGTATAGAGTTCATTTATGGAGTTTAAATCAAATGACTCTCATATAGACGTTTGATTTTATTCAAAATTCAATAATAAAAAGTATGATGTATCTACTATTGAATAGCCATATTGACTGTAACATAATCTTCAAAGTCATAAGTAATTTTAAATTCATATGGAGTTTCAAGATCTTATGACAACTATGAATTTCATGTCATTGTTCGAGTATAACAAAAAAATTAATCTCAAGTACTTTTTCAATGGCAAATAGAGCTTGACCACGAGAAAACGCTACATGAATATCATTGGCATTATTTTATCCATTGTTTAATTTTCAACATCATGACAGGTAAAACAATAGCATGAATATCATTCATAACACTGAAAAGTACTTTTTTTGTCATCCATCGTCTATGACAGACTTCATACATTGTTTTACATTGTTCAATGAGTCACGATCATCAATTTTTCATCTCAGTGGCACTTTCTCGACATAGTCAATAAAAATAAGCTAAGCGAGATATCTGTTTCATGATATTCAAATCGATCTGTGTCTTCTGTATCACCAGATACATATTCTTACGAGGGTGTGGGCATGTTCCTTTCTTGTTTTATTTATACCCACACCCTTCTAAGAATAAGATCATTTTGTGGCAACAAAGGGTATTAATTTGTACTGTATTACATTGACTGTGTTTGGGTGGGTATGAGTATGAGTTTTCTTTTTTTTCCACACTCACACCTTCTTTATGTAATTCTTGAACTCAATCTTTCAGTTTCATTTTATTCAATGAACAAAAAAACGCACCGAGCTGAAAAGCATTGGTAGATATCTTTAACTATCTGTTTGATTTCGAACAGACATAGGATGTTCCATTGTAATTTTTGGCACGTCTATTTCTTGTCGATTTTTATTCAGACGGAAACTAATGTTACCAAACGTGATACCACGAGTTACTTGACTTTTTTTCTTCATCATATGAAAAACACTAAAAAGGAGTAAAATGCCAAATACTAATCCGGCCAATATACCACCGACGATAGCAAGTGCTTGTGATCTACTGGAATATGTGATTTGCTCATATATTTCTTCTCGTTCTATTATCATCGTCATATTACTCATCGATTGAATTTGATTGACACTAACATTCGGATTAAAAGGATTAAAATGTTCAACGCTTTCAAGTGAATATGGTATAGCTTCGAAGAAGTATCCTTCATTGGTTACAAATCCGAATTTACCTTCATTAATCCCACGCTCAAGTCTCATTTGAGCATCGACTAATCCAACTTCTGAAGTATCAGTGACGTATGGTGTTCGATCGAGTAGAGTGAAAATACAATAAAATGTATCGTTGTGACCTGGTTCTTTGGTATGATGATCGAATTCAACTTGTGAAATGCGCAAATATTTAATTTCCATGAGAGAAATCATTTGTTCGCGAATGTTTTCGACAAGATGACGTCTGTAATTATGAAAAAGAAATTATCAAAAAGATATGTCGGATATTAAAAAAAAAACTTGCCTGTTGACAATAACATTTTCTATATCATCTACGGTAGTTCGATTGCTAAGTTTAAGTTGAAATGCTAAATGATTGTATAAGAGTTGATTCGATCTATAGCATAAGTGTACATCGAATTCATTCAAATGTACATCGGAACGATAGTCATAAAATTGAAAGGATACATCGGCTGGTATTCCACCTTCTTTTCTGTACAATTTGAAATAAAGTTCAACGGGATAATCGAAGAAAAATTTATTATCATCGTTGTCATGCATACTATCATTGTTTTGTCGTGTTGACCAAGAGTATTCAATATTTGTTACCAACCAATCCTCATTTGGATCCGATGGAAACACTCTATCTTGTTTGATAAAAATAGAGCACATTATAGAACCACGACACGGACGGATGCCAACATATTGAAAAATTTGATCACTTGGATTAAGAAGAAAATCTTCGTAATTAATCAATGTTATAATTGGTTCATGAAGAATCGATGCCGATAATATCACGTTGACTGCTTGTTCGATTTGACACGAGCCTGTGCGACGATCAATCGTATAAGCTAGCAATGATGAGTCTGCATAGTCGAAAATGATCGAAACAGGATTTCGAGTGAGATCATTAGGTGTATAGTCATAACGTACTAATTGATGTTCATTCGATTTATGATAATGAAGATGTACGGAACGCCAGAGTTGTTCAATTGAAGTCGAAATATCAATTCGAACGCTGAATATCTGAGAAAATTGAATGCCAAGATCGGACCCACTTGCCCATTCATAAAAGGGTACCCAATCTTTACAATAGATACCTTTGGGTGGTGCTACTGGAGTACTACTAATATTAACTCGATAGTCAAAGAAATTGTCGGTTTGTAATGGTGAACCATCACTCTTACGTCGTAGAATACGTTGTATAGGAACCGAGTAGTGAAATGTATCCCAAGGCATTGCATATGCGGCTTTTCCAAATGAGAAAATGATCTCAGTATCGGTCGAAACTGACGCAATCCATTGTTCAACATAAATAAAACCACGTAGAATCGTATTTCCAAGATATGTAGCATTGGACGTTAATAGTAAAAAATCTTGCAATGATCGAATGTGAGTTTGTTTTGTACTAGTATCTGTTATAGCAGAAAGTCCATCAACTGAATTATTAATATCAATCGGATAGACATTACATTCTGATTGATCTTTGAGTGAATAAACAGCTTTTTGCAGCCATTTGTAATTGTGATATGCGATTGTCTTTTGTGTAATAACAGTAAGACGATTGTAATCGTAATCGTAGATATATTCAGTAAGATTGCGATCATCTCGACCATCAAATACAATACTTTCAATAGTGAATTGGGCCTGTGTGGGGAAAATCGGATAAGCGGGAGCTGGGTCAGCATATGTTTGACGAGTCAAGGCAAGGAGCACAACAATGATAATGTGATATAGACTTGTCATCATAGAAATGTAAGCGAACAGAATATAGACATGTGTCCTTCTTATCTTATTCTTTTTTTGCTGCTATCATTAACACACGATACTTGCCATGTTTCATGTCAAGTTACTGACTGCTTATTTGCTCTTGCGAATTACGTTTTGTCAAGTGTTCGACGTGACGATTTGTCCGAATGGTCTTACAGATCCATCGAGTGGTCCATATTGGCAATCGTCAATACCAAAACGATTCGAATTGTTTGCTGAAGTGAGCACAGATGCCAAATCTGTACTAATAACTCAACTATTTCATAGTCCAAATCGTGATGCTATTATTTTTCATAATTTTGAATTTATTACACAAAAATATTATGATTTTCAAACGAATGAAATTTTATCTACTAATAAGAACATGGAATGCACTCGATCAGAAATTGACACAAACGAAGGACAACCAATTGTTATTAGTCAAATTGTGAAACCGTCCATTTTGCTTGGTTTTAATGGAAGAAATGAATATAATAATAGATTTCATACGCGATATGTCGGTCCAACAATCGTTCGTAGCGGCATCGCTGTTCAACGATTTGAATCATGTTTCTATGTTTCCGAACAAAACTTAACAATCAATGCCACCTATTTTCTTAAATTGTCTCACTCAAATGTTGTATCGGATATTGTTCAAATTGATGTCTTATCAAAGAATTTTTCTTACACATACAATATTATACGTTTTACATCCAATCCAATTCTTGACATAGCAACACCACCAGGTGTCTTCTGTCCGAATCGAACTGTAACTAAGGAGATTCCGGAAAATTTTCCATCTCGTTTATCTTTGCATGCCGAAGCTTTGATACCTGTGCTCAACACTACTAGTACAACAATTGAATCATATGATCGTCTCGTTGATGAAGTGTTGGAATTTGAAAGAATCGACTATATCGAAGCGAAAAATAACAATCTACCATCGAGTGCAACTCGAATGTTAATCGATTATTCAGTTGGTCTCAGTTATACTTATGAACGAGAAACACAGCAATGTACAGTGATGAACATGAGTGTCAATATACATATGCATACCATGAGTCAAATCGTATTTCAGTTCGGTGTTGATAATAATGTAATTAAATTTCAATATACGGGTATTCACGAATGTGATCGTGATCGATTGCAATGCCATCGATGGATCGGACAAAATGAACAAGTGAATTTCATTCAACAGTATGAATGGTTTTGGTCAGCAAAATATGATCAAATTGATTTACAACAATTCATTCCAATCAAAGTTAATATTGATATTATTAGCAAACATGATCAATCAAAAGTTCGTCAAGAATTCAGTAAGCATATATATATACTAATAGTATCTTTTGCTTAATTCTTTCAATTCAAAATATGACACTCAATCTATAATCATGCTGACAAAGTGAAAGTACTCTGAAAGAAAACAAAAGGAGTTTTGTAGAACTATTTACAATTCTACAGCACACATAGAACCTTTTAAAGTTTTGAATAAAATTATTGAATCATAACAGACTCTGCCCAAAAATGCTGAACCGAAAATGGTTTTACCCAGTAACGTTGAGCCATGAAAAGTTATGCGCAATAATACGGAATCTTGAAGCGTTCTGTCAAGAAATGCTAAACTATAAAAAGTCTTCAATTCATTCAAAGATGCTGAAGCAATAAAGGTTCTGACAGTTCTGCAGAACTCTTCAGGATTTCTCACTCAAAATACAGAATTATTAAAGGACTTGATAGAAAAAATATAGCTCATCATATACTTCTTTTGAAATCTTCTCACAAAAGGTTTGGTACAAACATTTTTTGAAATGTGGTTTAGGGTACATTCGGCAGAACTATTTCATCACATTTTTTTTCATTTTTTTTTACCATGACATACGTTATTGTACTCTAATTGGACGATTTTTATCGGCGATCAAGAATGTTTTTATGTACTTAGACTATGGAGATGAAATAAATCTGCTTTTATTTTTCAGCAATTTTACTTGGTTTATAACACTTAGCTCATTTGCAATAAATCTGGTAAATAACTGTAAAAGTTCATTAATTCTATCATTTATGTATAGTATTTTAAATTCTTTGAGATAAGTTTCATAATCTTGTTTCATCTGCACTATGCCATTGTTAGTAGATGTAAAAAGAAACTTCTACTCCATTGTCTACAAACAGAAAATTATACGTAATTATAAGGCTATAGTCGCAAGGTATAGATAATATAAAGCAATAAGTATAGCAGTGCAGATACAAGGCTATAGGTAAGATAGGAAAAAGAGTATAATCATAAGGGTATAGATGTAAGAATATAGAGGATAATACTGTAACATTGAATTGGGTTTCAGGTGTAGAACCTAATGATACAATTAAGAAAGATTTAATGATAAGCCATTTAAATAATGTGACACCTTATACAAAGAACAGAAGCATTTTTGACAAAAAAATCAGAAATGATTTCGTTATTTCTCTAATGACTGAACACATAAAAAAGTTCTACAAAATTTTTTTTTCACAGTACTCCGATAATCATCGTGATTAAGAGACGATTTTGAAATTAGAAAAACGATTGTTCTCGTGTGAAGTGATCAAATAGGTTTCTTTGTCTACAGTAGAGGAAGCAACAGAAGTGGACGATTTGAAGTATTAGTCCTCCTTATCTTTTTTTTTCTAAGGTTTCTTCAATTACAACTCTTTACCTAATTCAATGCAAGCGATCGATTCCACTTTGGCTGAATGTTATCGAGCTTTGGGACCAAGCCATGGCTTTAACTATGCAATTCTTCGTATGACACTTAATAATGATGCAAAACATCCTGTTGAACGGCATTTGCTATCACTTCAATATCGTTTACATCTCCAATTAGCTACCGATCTTGGAATTCGGCATATTCGTCTATCATCGATTACAATCGATATGATACGTAATAGTAGTGACAATCAAAATAACGATGTTTATGTAACATTTACACTTTTGGATAATCCACCTGTATCAAAAACTCATCTTAAAGAACCATCATCATTAGAATTAATTAAAACCTTAGCTCTTCAAATTAATCGTGGGGATTTTCGTGTACGAGACGATGACGGTGGTTATGAATTGAAAGCTCGATCGGATAGTCTTCAAACATTGGTTCTTTATTTGTTACCACATGAAAATCATACGGCAATACTCTACTCGAATATAACACAAACAATTATTAAACGACGTACTATCATAGTTGAAAAACATACGGGTTCATTTATAGCTGCATTAACAACAGGTTTTGCACTGCTTGGCATTGTTATTGGATTTGTCATCGGCTCGTATTGGATAGTGAGAAAATGGGCGCCGACTTTTCAGCAAAGAACTCCATAAAACAGCTTCTCTTATTGTCCGGCTTTTTTTTACATTATCCAATAAAATTTTGTATGTATCCGCGGCAGCATGTCTTAAGTTTCCTTCTCGTTCTCTATATTTCTTTGGACATCAAGAACATCAGATGTGTATGCTTTTTTTTCATACGGCAACATTTTTTGATTCAACTCTCGAATCATACAAAACAAAAACAATGAAAAATTTCAGTTATATTGCGCCTAAAACTGCACGTCGCCAAGATGGAGATATGGTGGAAATTATTTATGCTAATGGAGAAACTAAACACGAAGCATTTGAAGATAATAACTCAAGAAAAGCAATCAAATGTGATGAATAGGGATGATTAGCAAAAAACAACGTGCCCTTGAAACATCCTATGCCGTATGAACCGATCGAAAACCGCCGGTTTTCGATCGGCTCGCACAGCATGGGCAAAATATATTGATATTTTTCTACGAGTGTCGGGAAAACATGTTTTTTAACGCGAAACTTAGTGCATGGAATAGTGAATCTCGCATTGTCAAACGCAAAAATTTAATGCTGAATAAAATGTTGTGGTAGCTAAATTGAAGAGTAGAAACGTTTAGGAGGCATTGCACGTAAGCCACGACCAATTCAAGCAGACCCTTGCTCAATCGATCTCACCGATTTGGCTGATATTTTGTGAAACACGATCTGAAAGGAGTGTTGAAGTGTATAGGGTAGAAATTTTGCAGCCCCCCGTGGNCTGAGAAGAATATATACAGCGTTCAGAAACGATATGTATAACATGGCAATTGGAGCACTTCATGACCTCTATGTATAAGAAACTTTAATACCTAGTGTAAATGAAACATTTTCCCCCGAGAAAATAGGTGGTACAACCCTTGTATCACCGTTCTGAAAGGGTTAATTCAGCAGTCATTTCGATGATACATGCAAAAGAAGGATTATTGATTAAAAAATGAAGTGATTCATTTCATTTTTGAGTTACTTCAAATAGACACATTTTATTTGTTCGGTCCGTTACGTCGACAATTGATATCGTATTTCTGTAAACATGATTGCAATTTTATTTTCTCTTGGATCACTTTCCAACTTTTTCTAGCGTGTTTTTCCTAGTTTCAGTATTTTATTATTATCTTTGATATTCTCGTTATGCTTATTTAGAAATAGAGATCGCTCGTAAGTGTTTTGTATCTAAAGATCATGGTACGTATTAGCTATGTAACTATGAGTTATTAAACTTTATTAGAAAGCACACATTCAAGCTTTTATGAAATTAATTGTCGAGGTCAATATATAAGAAGTTGGACTTCAGATTTAAATGTTAAATATATTCTTCAGATTGATTCGTGTTTGTAGCGCAGAAAACTAGCACATCTTTAAAAAGACACCGGCATTCGCACTAAAAACATTGCCAACTACCATATCCAGTTGACTATCATTGTTAAAATCACCCATAGCAATCGAAGATTCATAAAAGCCAGTTGAAAACGTCATTTGCGTTGCAAAAGTTCCATTACCATATCCAAGAAGAACGCTCAGAGTGGAACTGCCAGAATTGACAGCAACTATGTCCAGTTGATTATCGTTATTCAAGTCCCCGACAGCAGCGAAAAGTGGATAGTAATCAGTTGCAAACATCTCTTGAGCTGCAAAAGTTCCGTTACCATGCCCAAGAAGAACACTCACAGTATGACTGCCATAATTGGCAGTAACAATATCCAGTCGATTATCGTTGCTAACGTCACCAACGGCGACAGAGTAAGGAGAGGAGCCACTTGAAAACGTTTCTTTAGTTGCAAAAGTTCCGTTACCATGTCCAAGAAGAACACTCACAGTGTTACTGCCAAAGTTAGCAATAACGATGTCCAAGTGGTTATCATTATTAAAGTCACCAACGGCGACTGAGTATGGAGCAATTTCAGTTGCAAACGCCATTTGCGTTGCAAAAGTCCCGTTGCCATAGCCAAGAAGAACACTCACAGTGTTACTGGCATAATTAGCAGTAACAATGTCCAGTCGATTATCGTTGTTAAAGTTACCAACGGCAACTGAATGCGGATAATATTCAGTTGAAAACGTCTTATGCGTTGCAAAAGTTCCATTACCATGTCCGAGAAGAACACTCACAGTATGGCTGTTAAAATTGGCAGTAACAATGTCTAGTTGGTTATCGTTGTTAAAGTCACCGACGGCGACCCAATACGGACAATAGTCAGTGGGAAACGTCATTTGAGTTTCAAAAGTCCCATTGCCATGTCCAAGAAGAACACTCACAGTGTTACTGGCACAATTGGCAACAACAATATCCAATTGATTATCGTTGTTTAAGTCACCAATAGCGACCGAATACGGATAAGAACCAGTTGAATATAACATCATTGGTGTAAGCGTAAAACCACATGTTGTCGCTAGACACAAGAACATGGATATTCTTAACTTCTATTTGTTGTCTCAGAAAAACAATAGTCGTTTATACAATATATTTCTGTCTCTATATCGAATGGACGTGTTAAGTCGAAACAAATATTCATGATTTCAAGTCATTTTGGGTGTGGATGGGGATGTGAAGTGTGCTCTTAACTCGCCCACATCTGCACTACCCACACCCTTAATATTTCATCTGTAGATGACTTTGAAAAAGTCGAAAACTCATGAATTTATACAATGGATGTATTTTCTTCATTTTAATAAACCCACTATACATTATATTGTTACTCTCTCTCTCTATTTTATAGGAAATTTAGTCTTGCTGTAACTCAAAAGTCATTAAATGAGGTGGGGTGTAGGTGTACATGTGCATGTGGAGTGTGCTCTTGACTCACCTACACCCACACCCACACCCAAAGCGAGCTTTTCAGGAATGAATTTCTTAGTTTTATTCTCTTATAAGTATTATAATTTGAATTTTAAAGAGATTAAAAGCAAATCAGTCATAGTTGAAATAACTTCCACGATAATAACCATGAATATAAGTAGTCCAATATGACAACTACAGAAAATGAAATATCATGTATGATGCTAGACGATTTTGTCGAGGTTTTCTTTTTTCTTACATACTGACAGAGGTTATAAAAACGTAGTACCAACAGACATACAAACAGAATGATTTATTGACTGTTTCTATAACTGAGTCATTCAGTTTAGGAAAAATTTCAGGTCCTAATCCTGCAGAAATCAGAGAGTTTTATACCTCTGAACTTCGAACCTATCGAAAATTCTGTTAAAATTAGACACGTGGAATGTAAAAATATAACACTTTGACGGAAGTCAAAAAGCCATATTGCAAGAGAGCAAGTCGAATTTTTCGATGATCGAGATTTCAAAATATAATAAGTTCGATAGTTCATTGGATATTTTGAGTAACAAATCAGAAAATAATAAAAAAAAATATAGAACAGTCAATAAATCATTTTGTTTGTATGTCTGTTGGTAAAATAGCCCTTAGCGCAATCCCTTGCGGGATTAAAAATGTGAAACACGATAGCTCTACTATTACTAATTGAATCGAAATCCTTTCGTTCAACTATGTTGCGGTACATTTGTAGCTAACCGTTTATCTGATGCTTTACAACTACAGTTTCTCTGTCACGACGTGTGATAGGTACCCGAATTCTCTGTCACGATCTGTGATGGGTACCCGAATTCTCTGTAACGGTCTGTGATGGGTACCCGGATTCTCTGTCACGGTCTGTGACGGGTACCTGAATTCTCTGTCACGGTCTGTGATGGGTACCCGGGGTTCTCTGTCACGGTCTGTGACGGGTACCCGGGGTTCTCTGTCACGGTCTGTGATGGGTACCCGGGGTTCTCTGTCANTGAATTCTCTGTCACGGTCTGTGATGGGTACCCGGATTCTCTGTCACGGTCTGTGACGGGTACCTGAATTCTCTGTCACGGTCTGTGATGGGTACCCGGATTCTCTGTCACGGTCTGTGACGGGTACCTGAATACTCTGTCACGGTCTGTGGGGGGGGGGGGTGCAAAATTTCTACCCTATACACTTCAACACTCCTTTCAGATCGTGTTTCACAAAAAAATCAAAAGTAGAAGCCCATCGAACTAAAAAAGAAATAGACCGCACCATAAGTCAGGCAGTGTTTAAAAAAAAGCCTTTTCAATAAACAAGAGACACACTCAAGTAACAATAAATTAAATACCGTTTCAAGACCTTAGAGTTTCCGCTGTAGGACACATAAATGAACTTCCAGGTTTTCAAACCTCTAAGAATATAATCTTGGGGATTCAGTAAATCGAAGTGCCAAAATCCAAAATGGCAAGTCAACATGTGTCTCCAGGCTTGCGCATGAATAAAATGTTTGCGAAAAAAACGTGTCGCATGCTGTCAAAATCAACAATGCGAAATGAATTTTTCGAAACTTCGAAAAACAAAACAAAATGGAAAACTATTGATGTTTCACTCAATATCCAATTCTACTGTTTTATCATTCAATCATATACGATTGTGATGATCTAATACAAGTTGTAAGTGAGATTCAGACAAGAGAGTAGCAGATAAAATATATTAGAAGACTTGCAAACAATGAGTGAGTTAGAGTAACACAGTTGGTTGAAACTGATGTTACCTCCAATTTTTTCTCGCTCTTCTAAGTTTAATGAATCTTTATAGACAAAATTAAATGCATGGTCTTGCCAACTCTATAGTTTATCGGTAGTCGACTTGATTCATTTTGCTGAACATTCAAATTACTTAAGCTTCAGTGAGATTCACTATTCAAGTTCTACGTAAACTCTAACCATATGACTATTGATGCTACGAAAAGAATGCAAATGACAATATTCACAATCTCCATCAATAATTAGAAAAGTTTTCATTCAAAATATTTTACTAGTTTTTGTCAGTAAAATACTCTTCCTCATTCGCTTCAATTATAGTTTTTTGCTTTAAGAATGGTGTATCACTGGTCAAACTTGTTTCAAATGAACAATGAGTCACTATAACAAGCATAATGAGTCCTTGAACGATTATTTGTTGTTCCAGTAATCGTGCTTATACACGAATGGCTCCATGTGACAAGAAGGGGCGAAATCGATTCGATCTCTCTACTATTCTAAACAACTTATATTTTATGTAGATGTATTTAGCTGTATTTTAAATGACTTATCCATCACAATTTTTCTGACTCAGTAGCGATTATCAATATGGAATATATCAGGTGCTATGCTAAATTTCAAGAGACACTCTAGTGCAACCAATCGTTCCTCGATTTTCTCTTGAAGCCATCTCGTCGTCAATTACCTTTCTCTTTAATAGGTCAACATTTGTGTTATGATTATTCTTATTTGTTTGTTTTTTTTTCTACTCAATTATTTTACTTTCTTTTTTTGCTTTTCTTGGATGTTTTATATATCATCCTAACGGATTCATGTGTTATTAGGCAGCTGCCCCTGAAGGACCATCAAAATTAGAAGGTGAACTGAAGATATGTTCGATTCTTCTTCTTGTATTATTGCAACACTTCTTTAGTATTTTGTGTTTCTACTTTTTTATATTGTTGGTGGCAGAAGTGGGACAAGAAAATAACATCTTTAAGGAGTATCGATGTTGAATAACTAACAGCAATGGCAAACACAGATATTTTAAATTTCATCTCTTCTCGATCTTGTTGTCTGAATTTCGAAAAGTTAAGATTATTGTTAGAATCGCATAGAAAAAAAAGACAGGAAAAAACAAAGTAAAATACAGTAGTACGATAAGAAGTTGACTTATTGCATTACACTATACAAAATGATTCAAATATAATATAAGGCAAAAAAAGGTTTTGGCGTAATGTCAGAACTTATTTTTCGGCAACAAAATGTGCCATGGACCTCAGTTTTTTTCTGAAGAAAGAAAATCTAGAGGACAAAGTCATTTACCCAATAATTACTTATTTAGTCAAACAGGAAGACGTGAGAACATTCTTTCAATTAACTTAACGAAAGTTTCCTAACATCCAAAAGAGTGAAAACTTTGAATAATATCACTCCACCAGCGACTAGTCATCAATGCAAACAAATTATACGATGTTCCGTAAACAGCTGCACTTCAAGGATACTTTTTAAAATTTTTCTATTCCTTTTTTATTGATATTTTTCGTAAAATGAATAATTTTTAAAATTTTACTCTGTTTAATAAATTGAAGTTCTGCTGAAACGTCTATTAGAAGAAAAATTTTATAATCGATACTGTAACGAAAACAAAACGTTGCATTGTTGATGTAAGATGGTTTTTAAAGGTCCATTTGTAGTCATATTTATTTCGAACTATACAAAAGACCATACCACAAACTAAGCGATCCAAAATGACAAAAAAATCAGGTTGCAAATGCACTTTAGTTTTGCATTGAATTTGAGTTTTATTCTATTAAAGGGAAAGCAAAAATTTTTCTATATTCGTGTTTTATTCTTTAGATTTCCTTTTTTCAACCAAGAAAAAAATGAGACCTACTCGATATCTTACTGTTGCAAAATAATTTCTGAAATTTTTCCAAGACTTGCGACGCACAATTGTTGCATAGTGATAAAGTAAGCAGGATGAGTTATTTGTTTATCATCATATTCGATTTATTGGTTTCTTTTGTCGATATTTGTCTCTACTGATGATTATGAAAGATCGAAAATAAGAACTAACAAAAGATGAAATTTAAATCAACTACATTGACCATTCTATTTCTTTATTCGAGAACGATTGATCAAACCTATTTTCATAGTCATCTACCATCCACTTTCAGAAAAATGTTTTCAACAGTAAAAGGAAAGAAGAAAAATATTGAGTATGAATTATTCTAAATGAATTGTATACATTTTTATTGTCTGATGAAAACAACTGTGTTGTCAATGTGTCATGATCGAATAAAAAAGAAAATCAAACGAATGACTGATGTGAAACTCGTTCTAAAAACAAACGCATTTTTCTCGAACAAGAACGCAGATAAATGCATTTCTCTTACTTTTTATTCCGTGGATGTGGCTCAGACTCTTATGCCTATCAATATCTTCTCATAGTCTGAAACATTCAATGAGCAATATACTAGGAAAATGATTTGAAACATATTCATGGCTCTTTGTTATGCTATACTCCTCCACTGATTCTCCCTAAAAATGCATCATTTGACATCTCCATATGCTAAAATTCTTCTAATGTTTCTCTTTGAGCAAAATCATAAATGCAATTCATTTTCATGAAATTCAAAAACTAGAGCAATTTGATACATCTTTATATTACATTTCTGCTCGAATTTGTGTAAACTAGCATATGAGAGTGTACTTATATTGCTACAATGTAAGATAGAGAATCAAGAATTCAATTATTTTTTGTGTCTATGATTGTAGGAAAAACTATGCTCGTTGGGTGAATTGCTACAAATCATGTTTCTTTTAATTATTACAATACAACTTTGAAAGACAAGAGAATACCTACTTGATGTAGTTGTTGTCGTAGTAGTTTTTGTGGTAGTGGTTGTTGTTGTGGTCGTTGTAGTTGTTGTGGTTGTGGTTGTTGTAGTGGTCGTGGTTGTTGTTGTGGTTGTAGTCGTGGTTGTGGTTGTTGTAGTTGTGGTCGTTGTAGTGGTTGTGGTGGTTGTGGTCATAGTCGTTGTAGTACTCGTGGTTGTGGTCGTTGTAACGGTCGTAGTAGTGGTCGCCGTAGTGGTCGTTACAGTGGTTGTAGAACCTAGCATACTCATATATCCAACGGCTCATGTCAGAGATAGAACCGGTACTGGTAACCGATCGGTCCGATGGGGTACCGGCCTTAATTTCGAATCAATCGGTCTGAACCAGGTTTTGCCGGTCTATATGTTTTACTTTCTTGTTCTATGATTGTATTTACATAGAAAATAAAATGACACCAAGACTAATCCCACTGGTTACACAGAAATTGGTTTAACAAACAGTTTTTAAAGTGCCCTCAATGAAACCTTTGTTGTCAATGGTGAAACTTTATGCGAGTATGCATGAAGGTACGAAAGTACCTCACAAGAGAGTTAATTATGGAACAAGGTTTCGGTTTAAGTCTCAGCGTGTTATCTGTGGATGGGTAGATTGTCAGTAGATCAGATTTTCCTGATAAACTAGTGTATCATTGGCATCCTGTTTACTACCGGTAGACCGATTCCATCTCTGCTAGCAGCTACGAGAGAGAAAACGAAAGATAAATGTCGGATAAATATCATTTCGTGTCTGCCTCAGCATTCTCAAGATTTAAAATCAAGCTCATCATACCCGTGCTTATAGTTTGCATTTGCTTTGTGAATACAGCAAAAATTCCATATGCAATAAGCACCATGGCTGCAAAGCAACATGCAATAGTCATGGGCAGCATGAAGAAAAGCGTCGGACATGACTTTTTTCTAGTCTTCGTAGCGGCTTTCTTCAAATTCCTAGAACATATATTTGTTTGTACAGTTAGAAAGTGATAGTTGAGGAACAATTTATCGGTATTTATCAATAGATAAATATAGATGTACTCAATATATATTACTAACATGTTGAAGTATTTGATGGATGGCTCTCTTCGGTTCACTGTTGATGATACTGTAGATAAAGAATGATGATTGACGGAAGTTGGAAATATTTTAGATGGATTCACATGTGAAGACAAATAATGATTGTTCTGGTTTTGCTTCATTTGTGAAGATTTGATCTGTGAAAGAAAAAGATTCACTTTTTTGAGTCATTCATTAGAAGATAAATCTAATGAATATTCCGATAATATACTAAAGATAATAAGTACCTGCGGTTGCTTTGTAAATAACGTGCTGCGTGGGAAATAAAACATTTGGATATGTTTAACTATATATCTAGAAATTATTCTGAGCTTTCATACTAGTTTGTGAACAAAGAGATTCGATAATGGGGTAGTGTTCGCTTTTGTTAACTATTTGTCTCAACTGAATGATTGAAGAGATTTCATTCATCGTATGTTAATAAAATTAAAGAAACTTTGTCAATGCCAAACGAGATACCATGCTGTCCAATCTTCAAACACTCGTGCAACATATAGTGTCTAGAAAGAATACTTTACTTATTAAACTTATTCAATTAAACCGAAATATTGACATTTCATGATAGAAAACCTATCTACACAGTCAAACCTTCTATCGATAATGATGGAAAGAATGACGTTTGATTGAATTTGTGTATATTGATTCGCTTTAAAAAGATTACACGCGTCATACGAAGCGAATCTTTATCATCAATCGCTTCTCGTTTGCTTATTGAAAGCTTTCATTATCAAAATTGCCCCACAAACATACACTCAAAACGAAATAATACAAGAAAGAAAGCTAAAAAGGTATTTTGATACGCTAATGCAAGATTAAACAGAAAAAAGTCATTGTATTGGGTATTGACGCCCAATGCATAGACACATGCAGTAATGCAGTTCGGATGATACTACGCCGGATGCATACAGTCTCACTCGTAATAGCATTTATCACTGATGAATAACTAGCGGCTAAAAGTCCTGAAAAACACTCTAGAATATATGACGATACAGCTAAAGATGTGAGATCGTGACGGTTTCGATCGAAGACATACCTCGATGATATCAAATTGAAGACTTTGTCTCAAACATGAGAACTCTTCAAATTTATAAAATGCTTTTGCGTGAGACTCTGTGCGTTATATGGATCAAGATAAGCTATGAATACCGTAAAAAAGTTCGTGCTCTCAGTTTACTTCTAAGTAGATGCTGCACTTTTTATGAGATTTTTAGAATGAAAGCCGTACTTTTCGAAGGAACGCTACAAAAAGTATTTCTTACATTTCGACTTGAAACTGCATAGAAACAGAATTTATTGAAACTAGTTATGTGTAAATGTTTCAACTCTGTTGATTTTCCTAAATTATGAAATGATAAAATTGAATAAATCGCTTGACGAAAACGATGTAGAAGATATGCTGTTACTATAACCTTACCTTAGGATTGAAATAGCGACAAAATTAGAAACATCTATAGTAAAATACTCCCGTTACGAGAGTTTACGGCTCGTACGAGTTCGAATATATATGATATTTTCGATGAAAAAGTAGACCATAATACCTCAAAATAAAAACTATATTCGAATAATGAATTATAATTAAAAATGGGGGTATCATATAGATACAACTGAGAGGTGGAAACAAAATTTATTTCAAGTTATAAATTAAAATTTTCATATGGCACTTCAATCACTAGGTAGGAGCGGCAGAAAAAATGTCACTTGAATTATGAACAGTAATTCGCATCTGACTGTTCTAAACTACGGCAGACTGATGAAAAGAAAATTGAATTCTTATTATATAGATGAAAATCCACATAGTGCTACTCTTATAACAGAAGAAAGCCAGACAAAAGTATTATTCGAATAATGAACTATAATTATTATACGAGCGTCCTATAACTAACGCAAAAAAGAATGAAAAAAATTATTTGAATTGTAAATTGAAGTTCCAATAGGGATTCCAAAAAGATAAACTAGGACGATCGGAAAAGATTGAATTCTTATTATAAATCATCATCCACATAGTGTAGCTGTGAAACTACGATAAAAAGATGGAAGACAATTTTATTCGAATTTTAAACTCTAAGTAACATAAGGACGTCGTATAATCATGCCGAAGAAGTATGTGAAAATTTTATTCACATTCCAAATTTTAATTTACCTAGGACTATCCTAAAATAAAAAAAGCTAAAAAGAATTTCATTCGAATTATCAATTATCGCTCACATAGGATTGTTCTTTTATCACGCTAGAAACGCAAAAACAAGTTATATTTCTACTATATATTCAAATTCAGATAGGACTTCTCTGAAGATAAGTCAGTAGGCGTAACACGATTTAATTATTTTTATAAGTCACCATCACTACAGTGGCCCTCAGAACTAACACAGAGTGCAAGAAAAACAATTTTATATCGAATTACGGATTGTAATTTAAATACGACTGTCCTCTACCTACAGCAGAAACGTAGAAAATAATTTGATTTGAATCTAACATTACAATTCACATACAGCTGTCCTCTAAATTCATCAGAAAGCAAAAAAAAATCTAATCGAATCATACATTAATATTCTCACAACGCTGTCCTATGTCTGCAACAAAAAGAAAGAATATAATTTTATTTGAATTATAAATTATAATTCATCTAGGGCTGTTTTATAAAAACGGCAGAAAGTCCAGAAAACGGCTGAATAATTATTATAGATCAAAATCTGCGTAGTGCTATTGTCCAACTATGATAGACAACGCAAAAACAATTTCGTTTACATTATGACTCACATAGAAGGTCCCTGTAACTAAGAGAGAAAAGCAGAAAGAATTATTCGAATGATAAATTATAAGTAATATACGAACGTTCTATAGCTAACGAAGAAAGAACAGAAAAAAAAAATTATTTGAATTGTAAAATGAAACTCAGACATGGCTCCCCGAAAGATAAACCAATAAGAGCGTAGAATGGTTGAATTCTTAGTATAAAGTATAATCCAGATAGTATAGCGCTGGAGCTACAAGAGAGAACCGCAAAACAATTTATTCGATTTATATAGTACATTCCACAGAGAAATGTCCTATGTATACAACAGAAAAAAGTTCTGTTAAAATTATAAGTTATAATTCACTTCGGCTTGCCATATGGTCATGACAGAATGGCTGAAAGAAAATGAGTTTTTATTATAGATGAAGACCTTTATATTGCTATTTTGAAACAACGACATAAAGGTAGAAAAAACTTGATTCGATTCGTAAATTCAAATTCAGATTCGACTGTCCTAAATATAAAAACAAGATACTGGAAAAGAGTTCAATTCTCAAAATAAATTGTAATCATTATAATGCTACTGGGAAAGTCTGGCATAACTCCAGAAAAAAATTTCATGCAGAGTATAAATTATTATTTAAATAGGATGTTCCTATAGATGCAGTAACTATGCAGAAAATATGTGGGATACTCATCATAAGTATAATCCCTATGGTGCTGTTCTGCAACTGCGATAAAGAGACAAGAGAAAATTTTCATTTGGTTCGTAGAGTGACTTTACCGTGGTGAGATTCAGTAGCTACGTACGGAGGGCAGAATCAAAATATATTCGACATATAAATTATAATGCACACATGGTTGTCCTATGAATACAAGAGAAACTGAGAAAAAATTAGAATCGAAGTCATGAATTATAATTCTGATAGGACCACCATAGAGAGCCGGAGACAGGACCCGAAACAATGAATTCTCAATATAAATTTTAATTCCTATTGTTCTGTTCTGCAATTACGATAAAGAGAGATATCAAATGCTTTTCTGAATCGTAAATTGGAATTCACCTAGAGTTTTCCTGCTTTTGTGGCACAGTGGCAGATAATATATATCAGTATTCTTTTCAATTGAGCATGTGGATATGGAAGTGTAAATACATGTGTGGGTGTGGGGGTAAATGAAAAGAAGATCCGCATGCACTCCCATCCGCACTCATACCCAGACGCCAGTCACAACTCCAGATCCACACGTACATTCGCAACTTCCCCACATCCACATCCACATTCACATCACATCCCACACCCCATATCTCACACGCACATGTACACCCACACCAACACTCGTATTCACATGCAGAACCCACACACCCACCTACGCCCTCACAGGCGCCATCTTACCTGTTTTACAATGGAAAGTGCGCAAAAGGTTTTTTTTGTAT